AGCTTTAAAATAAGATTTTTCGACGCATTGAATGATGAGTAATGCATGAAAAAGCGCTTAGCGCTTGGAAATTTTAACACGAGCGGAGCTACCACATGCAGCGAATGTACGCGGTTTTCTTGAAAATTATTTTGGCACCAGCCAACGCTAGCGCACTCACCGAGAAATTCCGTCGCGCGTCGTGCAATTTTCAAAGTGTACAACCCTTCCCACGCCTCCTCCTATCAACGAAAAAACCTAGAGTTTCTTGCGATCTCGTCGGCAACCTTCAAACATTTTTTACCCCCACCACGATCACTCTCGCAAGCCTAAAGATGGTATACACCCTTGTGCATTATGTACATTGTTTATTTCTTTATAGTAGTTCTAAAAAAAACGTATTCACCTAGATATAATATACAAGATAATTATTAAGTTTCTGGAATTAAATGTTTTTTATTGAGTAACGACAGATACCTTTTAATAATATTACTTTATTTGGTTTGTACTTAAAAATCAGACTATCCATATGTACTTTTGTGTACATTTTTATCAACTTGATATTGTCAAAATCTTACGCTCATATTACCCTGTTTTTTTTTTTTTTTTTTTTTTTTTTTTTTTTTTTTTTATAGATACTAGATTAACAAAACTAATTGTCACAACGTGTATCGTTTAAACAAATATTTGAATAAACTCTTAATAAGTAAACAGACATTGAACCGTCATGTAAACACTGAATGCAATATACTGTACAAATGCTAGTTATACTTTTCTATCGTTGAACGAAGAAATTAATTATTATTAATAACTCAAATTTCACGAAATAATAATAAGAATATAAACTATTATAAATCAAATGTGTTGGGATCATCGTTGAAATATTACAAATAAATAAGAAAATTACACAGCAGTGGGGAATAGATTAAGAAATTTTTGTAATCTTTAAAATTATTACAATTATATTTATTATATTTGTTGCTATATTAATACTCATTTTTTTAATTACAATAAGCATGAAAAATATAGGTGACATCTAGAGTATGAAATTATATAAGAATATAATTGATTAGAAAAGCAACGAAACTTATATAAAGTCATGAAAAAATTTTATAATATGATTATATTATTTAATCCACATTTAAATTCTAATTTTACATTGAAAAAAAAAAATTTCTTGATTTGACCATCAATCGAAAATGAATTATTTTTTTTATAATTTAATAATAATTCAGAAAAATTAGAAATGGTAATCCCTTCAATTGTTATTTTAATTTATACATTATATTTCACATATATATATATATATATATATATATATATATATA